GGAGGTAAAGTTGGGAATCACAGGCACATGATTTGTATATTCAAATAAAAAATGTCAGTGAGAAATATGAAATGTAGACAACTACAAACTTGTCCTTCCAAGCCGATTGGAATCTATGTATTTCAAATTTAGACAATGCACAAAAAAAAGACTTTATTACTCAACCTATTCAAATTCCTGTAAAGGCTGAGTTTACCACGAGGACTGCCCACACAACCTCTCCCCTGCCCCAAGGTATGGTGACCCTTATGTCAAACCACCACCAGTCATCTAACTAGATAGCAGCTCTACAGTCCTCCGGGACTGTGGTGACTTTACTCTTTTACTCAAATGGTATTAAAGCAATCGCATATATAAAATGGCTCAATTTTGTTACCAAGAAACGTACAGTACCTTGATTCAAAAGTTGGGGAGGTTTTACAATTTCAGTGCGTGGGCTGAATGTTTTGAATTTTATGCAAGCTTGAAATCACATGGAATATCTAGAAAGGAGGAATACTGAATCATTTGGCAAGTATTGAATGTTTATCACTGCAAAATTCTTTTTAGATTGCAATACAACAAATATCAAAAAACAAACCATTTCCTTTCATATGGCTACTACTTAACTAAGTAGTACTTCTTGGTGCTTCATAGAAGTGCAAACATCAAACAGTAAAAACTGACACCAAGCCCAAAGGACCAGTGACAACCAACAACTTGATCAAAAGGAAGTTAGATTTCAAAAGAAGTCAACGTGGAATCTTTGAATCTCTGAAGGAGGGTCTAGGCCCGAAACGTCAGCCTTCCTGCTCCTCTGATGCTGCTTGGCCTGCTGTGTTCATCCAGCTCTACACCTTGTTATCTCAGATTCTCCAGCATCTGCAGTTCCTACTATCTATGGAATCTTTCTAGTATTCTAAGAGCAAATTCCAAAGCTGAGGGCAAAGATGCTGAAGACACAGCAGTTAAATGGTGGGATGAAGAAAGTGGGGGATGTACAAGAGGTCAGAATTGAAGCACACAGTTCGAAGGGTTGCAGAACTAGGAGGAAGAGATGCTGAGAGAGATAAGAAGAATGTCAAGGCCATGAAAAACTTCGACCACAAAAAAGATAAGATGTTTAAATCCAAGGCTGTGGCAGACCAGTAGTTTTGATAATCCTTGTGCACAACACTGACAGGTTAAAATGGGACATGGGATACTGGCAAAAAAAGAGAAAGTCTGAGATGTGCTCAAAATTCCCAGCAGGAGAGAGATGGAAGTCTGGTTAGGAAGACTACAATGTAACAGAGAAATTGAGGTAGGAGTAAAACAATAACCTAGTTTCTCTCTGCAGAGAGAGAATTTGAAAGACAGAAAATGCTGGAAACACCGGACTATTAGCATGCGTATAGACACACTGGCTAACATTTGGAGTGTAGTGCGCAACCTGTATCAGAACACCCAGATGAAGAGCATTAAGCTAAAAGGATTCAGATGCTAGCAGACCTGCATTTGAGTTTTAACAGTAACATTTTCCATTTGTCAGAGATCTCATTACAAGCATTGGATTCAGCCATTACACAAAATATTCTAGGATATGCATGTGGATCACTTTACAACAATGCTTACCATCAGTCACTTCAGAAAGCAGAAGCCGTTTAAGAACATATGAAATAAAAAGTAGGCGGCCATTTAGCTCTCAAGCTGTACCACCATTCAATGAGATCGTTGTTGATCTGTTGGTTTTGAACAGATACTCCCTGATAACTTGAGATTCTTGTTAAGCAAGGGAGCAAATGTATTTTCATTTTAACAGTATTCAATGACCCCACTTCCAATACATTCTGAAGCAGAAAAGTTCTAAAAATTGCACCACCCTCCATTTCTCATTTCAGTCTTAAAAAGGCAATCCCCAAACAGTACCCCCTAATCCTGGACTTGCCCATGATAGGAAACATCATTTCCACATCTACCTTCAAATGCATTCAGGCTCCATAGATCTACAGAATTGCTACAGGTGTGGAAGCAGGCCATTCAGTCCATCACGTCCACACTGATCCTCCAAAGAGCATCCCACCCAGACCCACCCCCTACCCTTGCCCTGCATTTCCCACCCTACATACTAGGTGCAATTTAGTATAGCTGATCCACCTAACCTGCACATCTTTGGACTGTGGGAGGAAACCTGAACACCCGGAGGAAACCCATGCAGTCATAGGGAGAATGTACAAACTCCACACAGACAGTTGCCTGAGACTGGGATCAAACCCGGGTTCCGGTGTTGACAGGCAGCAGTGCTAACTACTGTGCCATCATGCCACCCAATAGATCTTGTGCACTTCAATCAAGTCACCACTCACTAAAACTCAAGTGGAAACTTGCCCAGCATGTCCAACTTATCCTCATAAAACAACCCATTAATTCAGCCATCACATTTCACAAATCTCCTCTGAACTGCCTACAATGCACTTACAACATTCCTTAAATAAGGAAACCAAAACTGCACACAGTATTCAAAATATAGTCTCACCAGTGTCTTGTACAGCACAAACAATAGTCTTATTATATTCTTTTTGAAATAAAGGATAGCATTCCATCAGCATTCTCAATTACACGTTGTACCTGCATACAAAATGTTTTGTGCACTAGAACAGCTAGACCTCTCTACACATTAAACAGAGAACTGTAGGATTTTAAAAGTATTCACTCTGCTTTTACATTCTTCCTACCTCACGAACAACTTCATGTTTTCCCACCCGCCAGATTTTTGACTAACACAACCCATCTATATCCAATGCAAAACTGGTTATTATGCCTTTACTCCCTTATTCAAATAAATTCTAAAAAAATACCTCCTCAGTACTCCATTCAATAGATTTTGCCACTACTTATTTTCCTGATAGATGTTTCTTGAGACAATTTAATATAGGAAAGAAAAATCCTGAACCCACCAATTGCAACTCAACAGCCAAAAATCAACATCACTTCTTAAGGTGAAATGTGCAAGTGCAACTTCAGCCTGCAAAATTACAAAACTGCCCACACCATAGTTGGTTTAGATTTTAGCCAGTTGTCGATTTTACAACTTGCTCATTCACATGGGCGTTACTTAAAGCTAACATTTTTATTACTCATCCCCAATTTCCCCTCAAGAAAGTGCTGGTGAGCTTCCTTGAACTGCCACATTCCATGTGGTGTTGGTGAACCCAAAGTGCTATTAGGGAGGGAGTTCCAGGAGTTTCCAAGTTGGGATTGGCAAGAGACTTGGAGAAGAATTTTCAGGGAGGTGTTTGGCGAGCTTTTGGAGTGCATCTTGTAGATGATGCTGCTGCACAAAATGCACCATGTGTGGCAAAATGTGATTATTTGTGCTGGGCGGGCTATTAAGTAGGCCATATTGTTTTGGAGGTTATGGAGTACTAGAGTACTGTTAAAACAGCACACATCCCAGCAAGAAGATTCTTCCATCAGGCTCCTTTCTTTCGTTCTGTTTTGGAGTCAGCAGATAATTTGCCTCCTATAAGCAAAGCCAGTACCAGCTCTTGTAGCTACAGTATTTACATAACTGGCCCAGTTCAGTTTCTGGTCAATGGTTACCATCAGCACTCTGATATTGCTATAACATTTGATAGAAATTGTCCCGTTGGGCAGACGCAGCATGGGTTCATGAAGGGCAGATCATGCTTGACAAATCTTTTGGAATTCTATGAAGACATTAGGAGCGAGGTGGACAATGGGGACCCAGTGGATGTGGTGTACCTAGATTTCCAAAAGGCCTTCGACAAGGTACCGCGCAAGAGGCTACTGCACAAGAGAAGGATGCATGGCGTTAAGGGTAAAGTATTAGCATGGATAGAGGATTGGTTGACTAACAGGAAGCAAAGAGTGGGGATAAATGAGTGCTATTCTAGCTGGCAGTCAGTGACTAGTGGTGTGCCTCAGGGATCGGTGTTGGGACCGCAATTATTTACAATTTATATAGATGATTTGAGTTGGGGACCACATGTAGGGTGTCAAAGTTTGCAGATGACACTGAGATGAGTGGCAGAGGAACATAGATACATTGAGTGAGTGGGCAAAGGTCTGGCAGATGGAATACAATGTAAATAAATGTGAAGTCATACATTTTGGTAGGAGTAATAGTAAAAAGGATTATTACTTGAATGGTAAAAAGTTCCAGCATGCTGCTATGCAGAGGGACCTGGGTATCCTTGTGCATGAATCACAGAAGGTAGGTCTGCATGTACAACAAGTAATTAGGAAGGCAAATGGAATTTTGTCCTTCATTGCTGAAGTGATTGAGATTAAAAGCAGAGAGGTTATGTTGCAGCTGTACAAGGTGCTGGTGAGGCCACACCTGGAGTACTGTGTGCAGTTTTGGTCTCCTTACTTGAGAAAGGATGTACTGGCACTGGAGGGGGTGCAAAGGAGGTTCACTAGGTCGATTCCGGAGTCGAGGGGGTTGGCTTATGAGGAGAGACTGAGTAGATCGGGATTATATTCATTGGAATTCAGAATATTGAGGGGGGGAATCTTATAGAAACATAAAATTATGAAGGAATACATAAGATAGAAATAGAGAGGATGTTTCCACTGGCAGGTGAAGCTAGGACAAGAGGGCATAGCCTCAAGATTAGAGGGAGCAGATTTAAGACTGAATTGAGAAGGAACTTCTTCACCCAGAGGGCTGTTAATCTATGGAATTCCTTGCCCAGTGAAGTAGTTGACGCTACTTCAGTAAACGTTTTTAAAAGATAAGGTAGATTTTTTTTGAACAATAGAGGAATTAAGGGATACGGTGAGAACGCAGGTAAGTGCATCCGAGTCCACGAAAAGATGAGCCATGGTCTTATTGAATGGCGGGGCAGGCTCAAAGGGCCGGACGGCCTACTCCTGCTCCTAGCTCTTATGGTCTTTCCTTCAAGTTTGGTTTCATGTTCCAACCTTGAATAGTGCAGGGTAAGAAGTTTGACCAAAACAAAAACAAAGTCAAAAGTACTATTAGTTGTGCAGAAAAGTTTATTTTGTTTGCTCAAAACAGGGGAAGATTGAGACTTAAAAACAAGAACAAAAACAAAGTTGCTGGAAAAGCTCCACAGGTCTGGCAGCATTTGTGAAGGAAAAAACAGAGTTAGTTAATGTTTTGGGTCCGGTGACCCTTCCTCAGAACCCTTCTTCTGTTCTAGTTCCTGATTTACAGCATCCGCAGTTCTTTCGGTTTTTATTGGGAAGCTTGACACTTGCTCTTTTTCATACCGGTGATCTTGGTCTATTTTAAAAAGACAGTGTTACTGGTCCCTCACCAGATCAAAACAATTTGGTGCTCTAATCTGGGATTGTAACAAGGGTGTAATTTGGAAGTTTTTGCAATGTCAATTTCATTTAAATGTAGTAAGTAACAAAGGACAGCAATAGAGTTCAAGAAGACAGATTTGCAAAATGAACAGACATACTGCAGAAAGAATTTAACACAGAAGTAGGTGGCCAATTATTTCTGCAGTGGCAGTAGGATTGGGAGCCAGAGATTTAGGTTAACTGACAAAAAACACAGGGGAAAGTCATTAAATAAATAAAGAATTCTTGACCTCAAAGCAAGAACACTAAAGCAAAGATCCTTTTAAAGGCAGTGATGAGGCCCCAGCAGACCAATTCTGGGCATCATCCTCATTAGGAAGGACACCAAGATCTTAAAGGGGGAAAGATATAAATGGGTCATTATATTCTAGTGAACCCCAGGGATGAGAGATTTCAGTTATGTGACAAGACCAGTGAAACTGGTCTTTGGTTAAGGGAAAGTTAAAAGGAAACTGGACTGCTTTTCCAGTAGCAGATAGCAAAGTGCAGGTGCCCAGCAGCTTTGGACAGCTAGCTCCATTTCTTGGCCCTTCACATTAAGCAAGGATGTATTTCCACACCAGAAGTCAAATGGAGAGTTTCCTGATGTTTAGATTATTTTCACACAGCAATGTGGTACAATTGGTCCCAGTGTCATGTTAACAGAACAGCTCTGGGATAGGTCAGTTGGTGAGAACAATGGCATTTTTGATTATTTCAATATGTCTAGGACCTCATCATGAGATCTAGCTGCTTATGGCCTTCAGGTTTTGGCCAGTTCACTCACTCATACTCCAGTGTTACTCATGTTGCAAGTTCTCAACGTGACACCCAGTACTGAAAAAGTACAGAGTGATGAGGAGGAATGGGGAATAGGAAGTATCATTAAGACTCCATTTAGAATATCTCTGTGTTAAGTCACTCTGCTTTAATGATTAGTTGATGGGGCCTATATTGAGAGATGTATTTTGAGTCATAATGCGCTAAGATATCCCATGAGCCAATTGGCATGATTCTGGGATGGCCTCTCCCAGTCCAAAACATTTCCTTTCTCACCACCACAACTTCTGGCTTACCTCAAATGAGTCAAAGCTGTTCTTCCTGCCCTTGCTCACAGCATTAGCTCAGGAGAGGGTGGTGGGAGGTTCAGCAGTGACAAAGGAGGGTTAGGGAGCAAGATGGGTGATGAGCCAGAGGATCAGCAAGCAGGATAAACAAGTTGTAAGGATATTTCTTTTGTACAGTAAGTTTTTAAAAAAAAAAATTACTGAAAATAGGAATTTAGCAACATAGCATTTCAACTTAGACAGAAATAATGTTTTAATTAGGTTCTGTAGGACTGCTTATCAGAAATAAACTAGAGCTTTTATATCTGATTTACTTAAAATTTGATTCACTTTAGAGTTGCAGTTTCTAAAAACACAAAACTTCAAGTGAGGACTTACTGTAGTAGGTGGTAGTTAAGACTTATTGCTCAATTGGATGGGAGGCTTCACAGATTCAGGAGTCTTGATTGAGGATGCATTGCTTATTCAACGATGCTTCATCTCAAGAGTCAGATGTGTGGATAGTGATGAATTAACCTGATCTGAGCACAATTAGGACCATGTGTTTCTTGACTATCTTTGGGACAGCTTCTCTCAAATTGGGCACCAGTTTGCAATGTCAATGCAAAAGAACAAAAGGTGATTGTTTATCTCAGAGTGGTCTATGATCCAACTATTCCACCCTCGATATCCTTGGTACAACTTTGGCAAACAAAAAAAAAAAAAAAAAAAAAAAAAAAAAATCACTGTTTTACATTTTTAGAAATTGACCTTGCATTTGTAAAATAGAGTTGCAAACTTTTACCAATATCCTTGCACAGTGTTGGGCTTATCAGTGATGCCAATACCCCAAGAATCTATGAAAAAATTACAAGGTTCAGGAGCCTATAGTCTGATTTTAGAATCATGTATTAGCTGTACAATTGAGATAATAAAAGACCAATTCATGGGTTTCCAGATCACTCTGAAACAGTGCTGCACTATAAATTGTAGGACCAGAATATTACATTTCACATTTTATCCCTCCAGGTAATCTCTAAGCAATAGGCGGTACTTCAACTCCACTGCAATAATGCATTCGAAGTACTTAAACACCCAGACTTTTAAAATCAATTGTTAAAGGAGAAACATTTGCTCAAACCTGCACTCAGCAAGAGCCAGGATAGGTCACTTTCTCCTCTCTAACACAAGTGCAACCTCACTGTACAACAGAAAGGTATTGGAATTATGCATTCATTTGGTTTTGACACACTACGAGAATACAACCTAAATCCAACTTTTAAAAAAAAAGGAAGCCATGACATTCACTGTGGCTGAACAGAAGCAACTTAATTGTCCCGACACTCCTACTACCACCACTATAAGAAATGGGGCATAGTCGCAGCCACTGTGGAATGGTGGGAGATCAGGGGGAAGAAAAATCAATTAATAATGCATGTTCTAATGTCAAAGCTACTGTTCAGTGTAGATTAAGAAGTCAAGACAAACATGCCCCCAAAACTTTCTATTCAGAAGCACCCTAGTCAAAAAAAAAGGTCATGCCCATATCTTGTGCTTCCTTGATATTGTTTGACTCCAAGCCCCAGTTCAGGTTTGAATCTTCACCTCTAGCGGCTGTTGCACTCAAGATACCAGCTGTTTATTAACAAAAAAATCAAAAAAAAAAAACACAATATGTTCCCACCAGCTGGGTTAAGATTGACAAGGCTGCCAAAATAACTGACAATGCAAACATACTATCATTATTAACGCATTTTGATCTTTGTTTTGCTGTTGAAAATTCTGAACTAGGGAGTGTTAGTTTAAAAAGGAGAGACAGACCATTTTAGGAGTGAAATCAGAAAGCACTTTTTCTACACCAAAGTAGTGAAATTCTCACGCTCTCTTCCAAGCCTGACTGTTCGGTCAATTGAAACTTCAAGACCAGGATTATTGGATTTTTGTTGCTATAGGGATCAATGAATATAGAGCAAAAATGACAAATAGAACCAAGATGCAGGTCAGCCATGATCTGACTGAATAGCAAAGCAGACTCAAGGGGCGAGCCAACTGCTGTTCTGCAGTCTTTTCCGCCTCGTCTTATTCATTTTTCTTCCAAAGATTGTACTGAACAAAGAAAATACTTCTAGAGAACCATTCTAATTAGTAACTGGGATACAAACAACAATGGTTCAAGCTACTTCAGTCACTGCTTTCCTTCTATCCATTCTACACAGAACAAGTTGTGACCAACTCCCCTTCCATTTCCAAAAAGGGGATGTATAACTATTTGTTAAAAAACAAATTCAAAAACAACAAGAAATGTATGGGGATAAACTACAAGTATTGTACAGCTAGATCTCGTCCTTACAGCTGGTAAATTTAGTAGATACGAAGCATTTTTATATCTTGCAATGCAAGAATACTTTTTAAAAACTGAAGTCAAATAAATTGAGGTTCATCCAATGTTCCAGCCTATCCAGGTTTACCAATTTAAACTAGCAAGGTCACAAAGTCCTGTTCATGTAGAGATCATGGGACAGACAAGTTATTGAAAGCACAAGAGTGGATTTGGAATATAGATACAGCCATTAACTTTTGACAGATTTCCTCAATCCAGTTAAATAATTTGATAAATCTTAGAAGAAATGACACATTGAAAATAATGAGGACACAATGAAGTGACAATTGTGTTACTGGACTAGTATTCCAAAGGCTTAATATTATAAACTAGAGAATTAAAGTTTGATCCACAATAGCAATTCGTGAATTGGAATTTTAGTTCATTTAAAAATGTAGGCCTCCATAAATAACTAGTTTATTAAAGCTTTTGGGAAGAAATGTATCACATCACCAGTCACATGTGCAACTCAGATTCATATTGTGATTTGACTCAACAACCTTCGAGCTAGCCTAGCAAGTCACTTACCACAGTATCAAACTACTACCAGGTCAACCAAACAGCTCACTATAATTTGAATCAGAGATAGTAGGAACTGCAGATGCTGGAGAATCCGAGACAACAAGGTGCAGGGCTGGATGAACACAGCAGGCCAAGCAGCATCATAGGAGCAGAGAGGCTGACGTTTCGGGCCTCGACCCTTCATCAGAAAAGGGGGAGGGGAAGGGGGTTTTGAAATAAATAGGGAGAGAGTGGGAGGCGGATAGAAGAGGGATAGAGGAGAGGATAGGTGGAGAGGAAACAAACAGGTAGTTGCAGTGGGAGAGAGCAATTTGTTCAGAACTACAAGAGATGTGCAATATTCCAGGAATGCCACCATCCAGAAAGGAAAAAACAAAAAAAATGCACTTTATTGCATCACTATTTTGTTTCGGCATTCATAGATTCCAAACCTGTCTGAAGGCACATGCAAACTCCACATCCAGAGTTTAGTCCATTCACGCCAGAGACATTGAGATTCCTTTAATATTTTGCTCGGTCCTTTCATATTGCATTCAAAATTATATTCTAGCATCCAGTTCAAATGCAGAAATAGTTTTAAATGCCTGTTCTTATTAAAAGTCAATACTTCTTTCTATTTTAGTTTGGAGAAAGAACATTTATAATGAAGAGCAAACATGTTACGAGCTGAGATTAAGCGATCAAATTGATCAAAAAAGGTTCAACGTAAATTAGGTATCATACAGTAATTAAAAGCAATCTTCACATTGTAAAAGAGAATTTGTGTTTTACAATTTGATGTGCCAAAATTCAATATATAACAGGGTCTGTTAATACACTGAAGATGCTCCAATCCATAAACAATTCAAAGTTACAACTTCACATCTAGACCATAAAGTTGTAACCTTTTGGCAGCAAAATAGATACGTAGGTACTTTTAAAAGGAGAGTCTTAAAAAGGGGGGCAGAGGAGAGAATAGACAAGAATGCCAGGTTTGAGGCAGCAATTCTAGAGTTTGGGACTTACATAACGGCAGACAATCATTAATCATGGCATAAAAGGAAGTCGGAATGTGTAAGAGACCAGGGCTGAGGAAGACATGTACGTTGGAAGGAGTTACAGAAACAAACATACAAAACTAAGATAACAAGGTGTAGAGCTGGATGAACACAGCAGGCCAAGCAGCATCAGAGGAGCAGGAAAGCTGACGTTTCGGGCCTAGACCCT